GGGGTCCCCCCGGGCTTTTTTTTTTTTATATTTCAAGCTACCGATCGGACGTTTAAAAGACCTCTTACAGCCATTGGCTGACCACGCCCACTCCAACGCTGACCAATCACACAGCAGATGCCAAGCTCCGCCCAGATGCCGAGTCCACAACGAGGAGCGAGAACTCCCAAAAATGACCAGATTTCTTTAAATTCAGGACTATGCAAAAGTGTAAATGCAGTCTGGTTTTTAGTGCATGTTTATTATACGAGGCCAGCTTTTTTATGTATTAATATTCTGTGAAAATTATTATTTTTCATTAGCCTCCCGAGACCCAGCGTCCTCATATGAGGTCTCTTTACCAGGATCCTTCTTTTCTCTTTGACCTTTGACCTCATAGCAGACACTTTCAGACACTACGGTTTGAAATCTAAAGGAAAATGCTTTTAGACATTTTACACCAATCATGTTATGATTGTGGAATTAAAATGTTTTAAATAAGTAATTTGGACCCTCAGAACCAAATTTGAAAATCTTAATTAAATCTGTAAACAGACATTTTAAACCTAAAGATAAACCCACTGAGCCTCTATGAAGAAAAACTGCCTGAACCAGGACAAAGTCGAGTTCTTAAACTCATCTGCTCCTCCTGATCCACAGATCTGGACCAGAGCTGGGCTCTCAGGAGGTTAATCAATTTTAACTGGCTCTTTTTTACATGTTAGAGAGGTCACTGCCATGTGCTTCCTTCATTTGTTTGCGCTGGCACTGAAACCCAGAGCTATCGTCCAGGATCACATCCAGAACTCCTAAACAAACTAAAATAATAATAATAACGATAACAGTGGAAGCCAACCATAGAGCGGATAACCCTCAAAGCAGTCGTTATCATCAACCGTTGTGCTATTCAAACTATTTCTGAAGTGAAACTGGGCCCGGAGTGGCCCGGAGCTTCCTGCCTGACCGGTCCTGGGGGCAGCTTACCACAGCGTGTTGAGCACCCGGTGGTCGCCGTGCTTGGCGATCCAGTGCAGCACGGTGAAGCCGCAGATGAAGTCTCTCCTGTTGAGCAGCGAGGCGTCCTCCCGGAACAGCGAGTAGATGTCCGGCCACGCCCCCGCCGCCCCCTTCACCATCCAGTCGTGCTCCCGGGGGTCCAGCGGAACCTGCGACTGGGGGCACAGACCACCATCAGATGTGCTGATGCACGTGGGTTTGTTTTTATCTTTTAGCAATAACAGACTATTTTACCCAGAATTTGAAATAAACACACATCAGTGCAGCCTTGCTTTGAATGTTGATCATTTGCATGTATTTTGGTTTTGTCCAAACTGAAACCCTTTAGGGAGATCAGATAATCACGAGGATTCCGGGTTATTAAACCTAGTAGAAACCTACTGTATCTGGGAAACATGTAAAGCAGTGTGGTACTAAAAGAGGACAGAAGGGAATCACCAGAAAATGGTACAAAGCTCCAACAGCATGGCGGGGAAAACATTTTAAAGGAGACATGTGCGATGGAATTGTTTACCCATAGGACAAAAACCCAGGAAGAATTATGTGGAGACAAATAAATGAAATGGGCCGTTTATACAAAGACAGCATGAGGAAAACAACATGGGAGCAATATGGAGACAGGGCAAAAGCCTTTTTTCCTCATTTTTCTTTTTTTATCCCCATATATGCATTTTCTTTAAAAAAGTAACAATAAAAACAAAGTGGAAGGTGTTAAAAAAAATCTATTTAGATGAAGAAATGATCAAATCTAAATTAATGTCTCCAGCATAATTTGGTGTTTTCTCCCACGTGTAATGTTCCTGTTCCTGTTCCTCTACCCGTCCTTCCTTTAACTAGCTACTGCGTTCCATTTTAATATTTGCACAAACAGTACCTCCTTTTCCCAGCTCAGCTACGGGAACTTCCCTTTAAAAAAAACACTCCTCGCTGTCTGCATACTTTCGGTTGCTGACCCGGTCACCTGAGAGAACGAGCTGCTGCTAAATACACGCCAGCTACAGGCGGTCTTAATCCAGAGGAGTAAGGAGGATATTCAGAATGCATTTCAGTTACCAGAGCCGTGCAGGTCAAAGGGGAATGAGGGAGTTCATATCTGAGGGCTTTACTTTTGCTAGTTTGAGGAATCTTACTCAACACGTCCCAAACAGAAAGCAGGAAAGTGTGTCGCATTTCATTTTTCATCTTTGCCACCTACGTCAGATTGGCTTCTATCGGAAACAAAGAGGGGCCAAAACGAGCCAACGGTAAAGTGCAGTGAAGTATCTGCACCTGGGCCTTGTACAGACTCTTCTGATCTTTGGTTCCACACTGGTGGAACGAAGTCACAAGCACCATCAGATTATCGGATTCTCTTTCCTCCTTCAAGAAACCCCTGAACGATCAAATCTTCCATAGTATGTGGTCCTTAAAGCTGTAAATGCTCTTATTTCCTGATAGCATATAGCATCAATGTATGGTTGTGTAGTCTGTGTCATAGTTGAATGTTAAATCCTGAATGTTAAATCCTCTTCTAGCATATTGCACTCAAGCTATGCTAAGAGTGGAACTGGTGTTGTAGTTGAACGTTAAATCCTCTTTTTGGAAGTCGATTTGGATAAAATCTAAAAACAGAAATGTAAATGCAGATGAGAAATGTTGACTTCTCACCTGCCCCCCGTGGTGCATTGTGGTGCTGTGGCTCCTCCTCTTTTCTCCCATCTCCTGCCCGTCGACGACGGGGGCGGGGCTGGGGCAGCGGGGGGGCGTGGCGCAGGAGGACAGGGAGGAGGAGGACAGGTGGTGGTGCAGGCTGAGGGAGGAGGAGAGCTGGTGGAGGCGCTCCAGCCGGGCCGCCTCGCCCCCCCCCCTCCTGGACTCCTCCTGGAGGAGCTGGTCCAGGTCTGCCCCCATGCTGCGGCACATGCGGCTCCTCAGCCGGCCGCTGAGCCGCCCGGCCGCCGCCGGACGCTGGCGCAGCTGCGGCGAGGAGGCGGAGCCATCGCTGGACTCAGCGTCCTCGTAGTCGTCATAGAGATCGCCTGTGAGACGGGGCAAGGCAGCTTCTTCATATCCGATATTTTTATTCATTTTTAAGTTTTTCCACAAGTAACAGGTGTACACACATTGTCATATAATCGTACATCTATTAAAGTAATCCACAATCAAGATTAATGGAACATCCCCTTCATCCACACAAACAAACCGTAATTCTTGAGGAGTATTATTTCTAGAGTAGGGTTGTCAGAAGTATCGATACTCAAAAAAGTATTGACACTAAAACGTATCTGGATACGATACTCATTTTCTGCTACCACCAGAGGCACCTAAACAGTCATTCTGGAGTGCAGAATAGAGGAAAATGCACTTTCTGAACGGTGTGATTGAATCCTTCTGTGCAGTTTTTTTGTAACGGGTACATTTGCTGAGAATACAGCATTTATTTTGGTTTGTTAACTGGTTTGGCTAGTGTCATTGTCATGTGTGTAAGCATAGCCAAGGAAGGAACACTTAAGTTAATCTTGTTCTTTTTTTATCGAGCTTGCTTAATATTATGCACAGCATACAACCTCAAAATATTGTTCTCATTGGTTATTGTATTTATTTTTTTGTATTTTATTTATTAATAAAAATATTTCTGTTCTATTCTGGGGTCTTTGTTTTTATCCTTGTGGTATTGAAAATAGTATCGAGTATCAAATATTTTCCTGAGTATCACTATGGAGTTGAACATTTTAATATTGTGAAAACCATATTCTGGAGTATTGTAGTGAACTGCTGGAAGTCAAGTATAGGAGTGTAAGATAAATAACCATATATCGCTAAACAAACAAAGGAAAACTAAATCAGTAAAGACAAATAGGAATAAGAAGGCAGATTTAGATTTAGGCAGTGGCTGACACAAACCCTGTAACTAACAGGAATGAACAAAAGGCATCTTTTTAAACAGAACTGGTCCTGTGACTAGTTACCTCCAAGGCGTTTAAGAGTTATTATTAGTGGAAAATAACTGGATGGGTGCATTCAGTCTTTAACAAAGTTTGAAATACTTCTGAAAAACAGCGGATATCTGCGCTATCATTCGTATTGATGCGATTATACCCAGGTTCCGGTTAAAAGGTGGACGAACGCCCGCCCTACCTGTGGAGTAGTGCAGCGGCGCCCCGCGGGCGCTGAACTGCTCCTCGGCGTAGATGTGGTCGGTGGAGCGGTGCAGCGCGGGGGGGCCAGGCTCCTGGGACAGATTCCCAGCTGACAGATGCCAGGAGGCTTTGGGGTTGCTGCCCAGGGGAGGGGGCATGGCCTCAGCCTGTGTGACCGGGGGCTGGTGAGCCCCCTCCTGGATGCCACTCACACCTTCATGCTCGCCTGCAGGCACAGAAATGTCAAAGAGAGCGTTCAGGAGCTTTGTTTTTGTAATGAACAAAGTATAAACGTCTTACGACATCATTTGTAACCCTAAAGTATGAAAGGGGGAAAATGCTGTCGGAGGGCTTCCAAAAGATGATTGAAAAGACTAAAAGAATAAATGAAAAACATTTAAAATGATCAACGACTTCATGTTTTATTCTGTGGTTTTGCTGGGGAATATTTTCGGTTGCAAACGGGTTGACGTTTGGTGCTCTAATGCAGCAATTTGTAGCAGGCTTGAGGCAGAATTAACCAAGATTTTAAGCAGCTTTCCTTCTATTGTCAAACAAGCTTTGTTTTCTTTCCTTTTGCCAGTATTGGTAACGGGCCGATCGCCCTGCATGAGGAAAACTAAACGGTTTACGCTGGTGGAAAGGGGCGTGGAAACGAGTGGTTATTTTACCAAAATAAAAGGCTCTACGGATAATTTAAAGTGCCTTTGTGTGTATTTATGGGAAAAAATATACATACTAGTGTTATTAGTGTAGAACTTTCTTTGGAAAACCTCATTTGGAAGTATAAACAAGTAAATAAAATATAAATATATTTAAGAACTCTATGACCTAAATATAATCAATATAATAATATAAAATATCATTTTTGTAATATATTCTTTTTTAGGTCTACTGGAAGAAAGTCCACAGACCAATTGTGGTCCAGGGTCCGTTCATTGAGCTTCTCTGTTGTGATGTTCTGTTTTGTTCGTTAACAAG